GGGGACGAAGACTACGGTCGGAAATTGGCAGAAAAACGACTGATTAAATGGCAAGGTAGTGAAACCGAATCAGCTGGCAAATTGAATGTTCACCGATAAAAAATGAAATGAAAAACTGATTCGATGTAAAATCGAGTAGATGAAGCAAAAACTAAAAATTTTGTCACAAAAAATGAAATATCAAATTAAGCGACATTATTAGTTTGACTTTGCACTTTAGAAGTAAAAAGTTATAGCGTCAGCAAGCGCTACTCTGAAGCTACTTAATAAATGAAAACTGCGTTTAGGAACGAATTGATGCAACCGCTTTGCCACAACAGGTTGACAGAACGATAGTAGGTTCGATGATTTGCAAACAGTATCGGCGACGTTGTGTTCTGATATGGTCATGCCAGAGTTTAGAAGGCCTACGGCCGCGCTGTCTGACGCCTGCAATTTATGACTGTAGTTCGCCTTCACCCACCTGACTGAAGCTTGCTAAATACTAACTGAAGGTGGCAACGGTAATTTGAAAAATTTCAACCTTACGTGAGATCGGATGTAGGGAAATGTAACATTCAGAAGTCGGACAGGACACAGGGCATGAAGATAATGAGATGGCATGAGGATGCTGAGATAGCATTCGATGAGACACAACAGCCTAAGAATGTTGGACGAAATAAGTGACAAAACGGAAAGTTATATGCTTGAAGTTCGATGAAATTAAGTTACGGTATGACGTACAGGGTTGTAAAGGATAAAATTGGGAAAGCTCGATTGATGTATAATTGCGATTCCTGTAATGCAAGACATACTGCAGAAAAGTAGACGAAAGATTCAAAGCGAAAAAGAAGGCAAATTTGAAAGACATGAAAATGAGGAAAAAACGAATTGGGCGAATAACTACTAACACGACGACAAAAAATTTCGAAATAGCGGCTTGTAAAAAAGGAGTTTTAAAACGCGACTTGGAAGATGAAGAAGAGAAAGGAAACGATTTAAGTAGAATGGTTTAGCTGCGATTTAGATTTAAGAACAGAATTTGACGACTGTTGGAAGAGGTTTGAGAGAATGTTGATATGGAAACCTATGAATTGTGGACATACGGTAAACAACAACACTATCACGCGTTGAATGCGACTAAAGTAAAGTTGAGACGGGAATTGTAGTTGCATTAGGAAGTTGCTAAACTATTGATGAGACGGTGTAGAACAAGAAAGAAGTGCAGAAAAGAATAGTGGAAGTTTTTAAACTTTGGGATAGGATGATTGAAGTGGAACATATGACTGAAAAGAACAGGTGTATAAACTTAACCCGCATGCAAATAGCGTTTTTTTCAAAAAGTTGTCACCGTTGAAATCGGATTATTCAGTCGGAGATTCACATAAATAATTAGCTATGATCACATGGACGAACAGCTGACTGTGTGTGAAAGTGCTATTTTCGATCAAGTCTAATTTTCACCTATCTGAATGATAAACGTCCTGACTAACGATGACCACATATAATTAGGTCATTATCAGCAAATAAATCATCGAAGATGAGGTGATGCTTTGTTGATACCAAAGGCAAATGTTGAACGTTGTTGAGGTCGGTCGTGTGGGAGGGGGCATATAAGCCCAATTTGAAGCATTGCAAATGGGATTTCTCCTGAATGTCTTCTGGCGAATGACTTCCCGAACCGTTCGTATCTGTGAAACTTGGCATAAGCGATCTACCTCGGGAGACATGCGACGCGGCTAACGATCGTTGCTGTCAAAAAACATGCTTTGAGCGGATTTGTCAGCGATGTTTCAATCGGTCGACTGGGAGGGCGTATTGATTTGATTTGCGTAAACTGATCGACTGTCATGTTGACTGCTCATGTCACATTTTCTACAGATTTGCTATGATGATGACGGATGT